GAGAGAGAGAGAGAGAGAGAGAGAGAGAGAGAGAGAGAAAGGAAGGGAGAGAGAAAGGGAAGAAGAGGGAGACGAGCCTGTCGTAAAAATCCTTCCAAATGCTATACAAATATTCGCGCGTGTGTTGACACTTCCAATAACGATTTCTTGGAATATTTTTCAATGTCGCAGATATTCATACAATATTTACACGACAAAAGTCGCGTATATAAAATATATATTATGTTATATCGTAATTTGATAACTGAGTACAGTACAAATTGATTCAATGTAGTTAAATACAGATTGCCATTGATTTTTGCATGGGAATTAATGCACAAGACTCCGTCTTCTTTTCTTTAACTCAGAAATTCACGATTTCCGGTACCGAGTAATATTTACATCGTGAAAACAATGTTGTACTGCCTTGGACACAAAACGCACGTCGCGATGGCAACACGGAGATTTGGTAACTGACGGTGAAAAGTATCGCTCTCGGCGACAACGGGTCAATCAACTGCGCTGTTGATATATTCCTTGAACATCGTCCCCGTAACAAATTGTTGACCTCGGAGGGTCGGTGGGGAATTGCATATTACTGACGCATCGACAAATCAGTAGCGAGGGGACGCTGTTGATATTCGCAAGGGCCTCCATCGATTATTTTCGTCGCGTCGAGAAAACCGCCGGAGAGAACTTTGTGAAATGTTGCTACGGGATTTCCGTAACTTTCGATTTCGATCGATCGATTCCGAGAGAATTGCACTTGAGGCGAGCCTTCGATTACAGAGTGTTGCCGATGAAAAACTTCGAGACGTATCATTATATATTAGTTGTTGACAGTTATAAATTGTCTCGAAACAATCGTGAAGATTGCGAAATGATTATAATTCACTCGTAGAAAAGAAAAATCTGGTAAACCTTGGGATAAAAATTGAGAAAGTATTATAAGAGTGACTTGAAAGAGAGTCGCGTGAAGGTAGAAAAAGAAGCAAACAATGCAACAATATTTTCCCTTTTGAAAAGATATAAAGATATGCATCAGAGATAAGGATGCTTCGCGTACTCGGAAAAGTAAAATTAATTTTAGAATATAATAATTAATCAGTCACACGTCAGCAAGTTCGTCGCGCAGCTGCACTGTAGCAAGCACAGTAGACGCAATAGAGACGCGGTTACATCCTCTAACATTCACTGGTTGCGCAGGTCTCGATATACGGCTCATTCGCTGCAAACTCAAATAAGTTACTTTCATTAACTGCGCATTATTGCGCACTTGTATCCATAGTGCAGACAATTTTACGCACTTGTGAGAGAGTCCATGCAGAAACGAGTGTACTTGTGCAATTGACGTCGCTTTATAAACCATTTTTCCGCGCCAGTCGGTTGCGTTCATGAACTTATAATCGCGAACTCACGCAAAAATTATTCGCGCGCGCGCTCGCCCCGGACCGGAAGTGGTGCGTAAAGTATTTTTGAAGACCGGTTGAATGGACCACTGCGCGCGCGGGACACTTACGCAATCTATTTAAATTAGAGAAAAGTAGCCGCGCGAAGTTGCGCGCAGAAAGAGAGAGGCACCGCTACCCATTCCTCTGGGCCCATCATGCGCCGACGTCGCCGGCCGATTCCCCGTAACCGATAAATTAAACACTCGGATATCTCTTCCGGTTTGAAAGCACGCGACTGCGCACGGCGAGCGCGCGCGCGCCTTACCGCGCGTCGACCAGCCGCGGTAGCCGTCGCAAGAAATCGACCGAATGATCTGGAGGGACTGTTACAATGCGCCGCACTGCTGCCGCTACGTTGCGCCTCAACTGCTGTTTCCTATCTGAAAGCAGTCGACACAGAAATGTGTCTCATTGTCCTGCCCGTGCTCGATGGCCGTGCGATGACTCCGATCGATGAGTCAAATCGCGAGCTTTGTATGATACACGTATGATCTCATAAGCGCATACCGCCGGGGCTCTCGATACCACAAATTTCCCGTCTGTTTAAGCCGCGCGACGTATTAATAGATGCTCATCGGCCACGTGTGAGAAAAGAGTCTTCTTCCTGTCTCTCAGGTGTCATTTCTCCTTACAGCGATTCGATCCTTGAGCGACAAGCTCAAGCAGCGTAGAATTACGGGACAGATGTATGAGGCCAATATTCTTTTAACCTATTTTTTTCCCTATATTTTATTTTTCCTTATATTTTTCCTTATATTTTATTTTTCCTTATATTTTTTTCCTTATATTTTTCCTTATTATACATGTAATATAATTACGTTTATATTTTCTTTATATTTCCTTTATATTTTATACTTTAATATTTTATATTGCATGTAATATAATTACGTTAATTTTCTTTATATTTTGTTTATATTTCATACTTTAATATTTTACATAACATGTAATATAATTACGTTACTATATTACTTATACAATTTTGTAGGGGCTTTACTCGGATCGAAAATCCTGGTACGAAAGTGTCAGAGTCACTTTCAAATTACAAACGATTGAAATTTTTCCGCGCGCCGTAACGTGATCATTCGTTCGCTATTAATTTTTACTTGGCTCGAGTGACACATTAATTTTCACACTTCAGCTTGGAGACGAAGGCATCAGAAATAAGTTAAGCTCCACAGATACTCTTTTTGCATTAAAATGCAGCCACATTTATTCTTGAAATTGAACATATTTATTAATTCTTCTTGACTGACGTGTTTACGCGAATTTTCTAAATGACAGCACTTGCCACTCCAATCGCTTTTCATTATCGTGTGACCTCGATCCTCCCTTATTAGAATTTTAGATTTTGAGTAACGTCCAAAGCGTGCGGTCTATTAAAATTTGCACGACGACTGCGGGATGTTCTTTTTATGTTAGTTGAGCAGTTGTAGGAATTTTCACGTTGTTGGTTTCATGTATATTAACACACTCGCTTGGGGGAACAAGATCTTCGGGAAACGAGAATCGCCTGAAGCGAGTCTGTTTTAACTTCCTCCAAGTTTTTATCTTATTAATGTTTAATTGGGAAGGAAAGTTTAACATCGCACATAAATCTCATTAGAACGATTTCTAATTTCGCGAATTTTTATAGGCATTTCTTAGAATGCCTATAAAATATATTTATATATATGTAAAAAATAGAAAAAGAGAGAGAGAGTTTCACAAATCGCAAATTTCGAGGTTTTGGCCGTTACGTCGAGATTGCAAATTATAAACTCGATTAGTTTCTCAAATATTTTCGTCGCGTGGTTTCGAGCGACGACGTCGCTTCCAAATATGTACACACGTGTAGATTCTCAAAGCTTGAAGTAATTTTAATAAGTCTCCGGATGTCGGCTTTGTATCTTATTTGATTTTGCAGATTAATAGTGATAGCACGCCGCTTATTATAGATTTATGTCACGGTAATAAAATTCACCGTGCGCGTAGAGCAAGATAATTCACGCTTGTGCATGAAGCAACCGAAGCGTCAACTATTTTTCTAACCGGGTGCAAGTGTCTCTTAAGGAATTTCTTTTTGCGTCGAGACATTGATTAGATGTTTTATCTTCATTATCTTATTACCTCGCGTCTTGCACGCTCGTGCGCGCGAAATGAAGTTATACTTCGACGAGTATTATCTTCGTTATTTAATCGTCCAGGTATGAAAGAGACGATAACAGTTTATACGCTGACAAGCTGACAACTGGATTATAATTGACACAATCACTGGATAAAGATGCAAAACGATGTAGGTGTTGCAGAAAAAGATCGCTTTCGTAATTTTCACGTTTTCATACTTTCATATTTTCTTCACGGAACATAGACGTACACACACACACACACACATATCTTGCTGTGTGTACTCACTGCTTCGACGCTGTCAATCACCTCTTCTGCATTCTACATTCTTGTGCTTCCTCGATTTCTTGTTTCTGTCGTTTCAGTTCAAAGTCATGCCTCTGGTCGGCGCATACTACGTTCAGTGTTGTTCAATAATATCTCCCGTTTGTTGTCTAATGACGCCGTGCTGTTTTGCGCTACCTTATAACACTCCTGTCGCAATAATCGGCAGTGTCGAAGGGGTAAGAGGTCGCGCGTGGCCAGAACGCATTTCGATATGTGTCCGCGTGCTTACGCGATAGCGCGCCTATAAATATGCGCGACGCACACACGAGTTATAAAAGCTCGATTTACGTACGTCGTTTTAAGAAATGCGGCTCAACCTTGTCCCGATTCCCTTCCCCCCATAGCGATTGCTCGCGCCGCGCCGCGACGAGCCTCGCGATTTTGCAATAGTTCGCGGATTTGAAAAAAAAAGGAACGAGCCGACTTGTCGAACCCTTCGCGATCAAAGACGACCGCGGACGTCCCGCGATCGTGATGCGAAATGCGCGTTCGCGAATTTATAGGCGCGAATCCGATGCAGTTTTGCATTCATTTGCAAGTTCTCACAAGTTCTTGAGCGACGTGTCATGTAGATAATATCCGTTCGCGTCTAGACACTCAGGCCGTCGTCATGAATTTTAATATCTCGAATGCTATGAACCCGGTAGGTGTCATCTGGGTATGGACTATGAACGCATATACGCGTCTGACGAATATTTTCGGCTCACACTCTCGAGCAACTGTCAACTGTGATGGGCATTTGTATTCATGTTCTTTTACATATCTCGTCGATAGATAAGATCTTAATCAACTTGGTACATTCCTTTTTCCATTTTTCAGTAAGTTACTTCTCTTACTAATTAACTTGTGAGCCTACATGAGACTTATCAGCTTAAAAGTATTCCTCAGCTGTTGTTCAGCTCTAAAGTGCTCCACGCTCAAAGAAGTTAATAAGTTTCTTAAGTTACCTTTTCTTTTTTTTTTTCTTCTTCTTTTTTTAGGATGTAGGAATATTGATGACGGAGCCAGCTCGATCCACTCACATCCGACGTGGCTGAAATTCAAATCGGTATTCTTATGCAGGATCTTTCACAATTCGCGACCTTACTTTAAGGACAGGTCGACTTCAAGTCGACACTATTATCGATTGTATCGTGAATATATGCATAATTATAGAGTACACGCCACACTCTCAGTGTCGGTGTACGTGTGATTAATCGAGCAATGCAATAGGTCTGTCTGTGTTGTGCGCTTTTAACTGGTTTCAGCAGAAAATTATTACCAACGAAAGAAAAGGAACAGTCGAAATGAAACATCATACAGGACGTTCGGTAAAATGAGATAGGAAAATTTAGTTTGGTCGTGATTTAAAGGCAATACATTGCCTTGAGTAATTACTATCTGCGATTGTCACTCGACCTGGTCTAAGCAGCATTTCGTGGTTCAAGGATCTCGAAACGTAGATGAATTCTTTTCAAGGCAAAGACACATCGCACTTTACGCCTGCACAGAGAGAAGAAATATTACAATGAAAATTATTATTGAACGACCGAGGAGTACATTGATATCCCACCTTGATCTGTTAGTCTTTTGATTGTGGCTTATAATTTTATTTTAGATTATATTTTATGTGTGGATCTTTTATCTTATTTCAAAAATTTTAATTACATCTTTCATCTATATCTTAGGAACTGAGAGAAAGAAAGAGGAGTCTAATATTAAAAAATTTCGTATTTTTCTTAACAGGATAAATTCTACTGACACAGTTTATTCTTGCGTGTTAGGAAAACGTGTTAAAATTGGAGGGAACTCGGTTGAAAAAGAAGCTGAACATTCTCTCCGTGTATTTAATGTAATTATCTCGAGAAAACCCGCTCTTTGCGGCCAAAGTTTCTTACGTTACACCGTCGTCTTTCCCACTTTACTCTGATATTTGTTGACGTCATATGTACGAAGTGTGTTCGAAAGAAAAAAGGCGTTCTTACGAGATGTACGTGCCAGACGCAACTCAAATTTCTCTTTTAGAGTAAGCTCGTTTTAAATTTAAATTGCCTTGAATTGCCTTAAAGGCATTTAAATACGTCCGAATTCCCGTTAAGAATTTAAAAAATAGGCGCGAGCGCATGTTTGAATATTACAAAATTTCTTGCAATTGAAGTTGAGCCGTGATGCGGCTTTCGCAAACAGCCGCTATTCCGAGTTGGTTTACGACGCGCAACAAAAAATTCTAATATTGTTGGCTTGATTGCTGCGCTATTCTTGCACTGGTTCGCCTTCGACGGAAAGGACTCACTTATAAGCCCCGAACTAGCTAGCACGAATTTCTTGCCACTCGTGCACCCAAGACGCCTCGTGTGTATGCCACTTTCGTAATTTTATTACCGCGGTTGCATCTCGAGTCGTGCGTTGCATGACGACTATTCCTTTTTTTCCTCTCGGAGACAGATCGATGCGTGTCACTCTCACTTTCGTTTTGCGTAAGGTGTATCCGGAGTATTGACCGAAATGAAGCCGTTCGTCGAGTCGAGAGCCGAGTTGCCGGGACATAAAATGGGAACGAGAATTCACTTCTGCTAAAGAGGTAGAAAAGGAGCTACTTTACATAATCTCTTTATGACGTCCTGCTAATCGCTGTGCGAGCGACATTTCAAATTACCTTCGGATTGTACGAATGGATATGTGAATTGGATTATAAATAATTGGATCTTGAGATATATGGGATTTATAATTACGGACAACAACCCGCGACAATCATGATAATTCCAACAATGAGTAAAATAAGTGAGTAAAAGTAGTAGTAGTACAGTGAGTAAAATAAGTACTATCTTTTATCGCGCTTTTGTTCACGACAGGCAGCCAAACAGAGAGATAGACAAATAAGACACAGAGAGCGAGAGAGAGAGAGAGAGGAGGGGAGGGATTGGCAAAGAAAATAAGTGCAAAACAAAAGAGTGTTTGTTAAGGATAGTTTTGAAAATGGTCCCGCGATCATCACACGTACAAGAACAAGAACGAAAGTGCTGCGCTTCTAAATAACGAAATGGAAAATTCTCTCCTTAGTCACGGCATACTTTCACATCGACACGCTGCACTTGCTTATCGTTAAGGTAGAAGAATCGCGCGCGGCCGTACGTCCGTTCTTGGGCACGTGCACGCGCATTTACGCACCTGCGTACGGCTCGCGTACGTGAAAGGTATTTGACGAAAGGACAAGGGTGGCCGCTACTGCTAATTGCGCTGTGATTGCAACAAGCGGGAATGTCGTTGTCGTGAATAACAACGTCATTTATCGATGATGATTAACGCAACAATTGCGGAGCGATTAATGGAGATGGTAGTGATAAGCTGGGAAAGTGCAAGTGTGCTCCCTTTTCTCGTTAGGTGGCTCTTTTCTCGTTGCATTGAGGGAGATCTCGACACTCCTATGAGAAGATTCGGACACTCAGTATAAAACTGATTCAATATATGACTGATACAATGGTGATATATATACGATATATAATTGATACAAAGATTATATATTTTTCGATATAAAATGTCAATAGAAACATCAGCACACTGAGAAAAATTTCTGGTAATAATTATCCAGCCTGTGTTATAGTTACTACATTTAGTAAAATATTATCAATTAAATATAAAAAGTGAATGTTGATATAAAGCTATATGAAAGTTAATGTTATTAACAATTTTGTAATTATTACCAAATATTTGGTAACATTTACCATATTGGTTACTATTTACCAAATAGTATGATAAAGCGCATTTGGTAAGTATTACCAAACTTTTTTCTTCAGTGCACACAAAAATGAGTTGTATCATTTAAAACGCAGTTTTTAACTGTAAATTTTAGTTTTTTCTTATGTACTCGTCATACACTTTTCGTGAAACCACCTGCGTTTTTGCTCAACATTGCGCTCTAGGGTTTGGCCTTCGTACAATTGTCATAATGAAAACCGCAAAAAATTCCACGATACAATTATCGACGTTTATGACGTGTATGATACTATCTGGGCAACAATCATAATGTGCGCACGCTAAATAAAAAATCTGTCGAAATATCTTTAAATTGTCTCATATATATAACTCCATAAACGTTACTTTCGTATGATAAGTTGTCCTTCGAAAATACTCAATAAAGCAGAGAGGAATGATTAAGTAGAATAATTGTAAGAAATAAGAAACAGCGATATGTCTACTGCCAGTCACTTTAACTTACCCTACTAACTCTTAATCTCCAGGAAGCAATCATTCTTGTGCTTGGATATACTTTCCCTGAGTGAGTTTTTACTTGCGCAATTTTATTTCACCTTCCAAACGTATTCACCGGCTATTATCGGGCAATATCGGAGGTTAGAGCAAAGGAAGCGGTTCTCTTGTCGGCTGGTGAGCCGATGGCGGAACTCGAGAATGATCGTTGATGAGGACAGCCTCGTTATCGTTCACGACTAACAAAACGGCGGCATGTCGCCTACATTTCAACGACAAATAATGCCCAAATTATATTATTTCTCCCTAACGTGAACGATCTTTCCTCGCTGGTGTGTTCGACGACGTCATCGCGAGAAGTTACGAGCGTCAATGCTTATTATTACGTGCGAATTTCACAAATCCCGAGTTCTCGAGGACGCTCTAGGTGAAATCGAACAGTTAAAATTCCGCAAGCGAGACATTAAGACGCGTGTTCTGCATTTTTAACCGCCGCTGCTCGGAGTCTCGTTGCCACCATTACTTATCACCGACGTTGACGAGACGATCACGTGTGATCGTTGCGAAAGCTCAGACAATCTCACAGAAGGATTACGTCGATGCACGCCAAACTTACCTCGCTTCACGCGGATCCTGCGAACACCCGAAGCAAATACTCAACGCGGAAATCGAGTCTCTTATCGAGTACACCGGCAATCCCCGTCTTCCTCGGAGTTATGACTTCCTGATACTCGATATACACGGTAGCGTTCGACAACATGGATTTTGCGAATTTCTATGTGCGAATTTCACGTGTGTGGAAACTATCGAGAGCGTGCGTGTCTCCACATCGGCCGCTGGAATAAGCGGCTCGCCACGCTCGACAATAATTGCTGGTGAATCGGTTAAAAAGACAGCGGCGAGTGCGTTCTAGTAACCCATAGATAATAATCTGTCGTAACAGCGTTCGTACTTCGATCTTCCGCTGAGAGCATGAGCGCTCCGTCCATGAAGAAGACGCGATAATATCAAGCGTATTACGCAGTCACGACGCATGCAATCGCAACTCTCCTAGCGCGGCAATTATTATTCAAAGCCGAGTAAAGTTTATTGTGTCGCGACATATCCTGTTATCTTAGGCGGATCTGCTTATCGGCCGATATACGACGCGACACACAGATGTTGTTCAATAGAGTCAGAGGATAGAGTCCTTTCGCGACGAGAAGGATTCGGGAGGAAATGTATGCGCTTCCCCTCGAAATGCACGAGTAAGTCGGTGAATGCGCCTCCTCGGGACGGTGTCGGTAGTCGCGATTGTCGGATCGGCGATTTGAGAGAAACCTCGTTGAGTGTTTCGAGCGTAAACATTCTCGTGGAAACGAAACCGGGGGATTTATCAAGAAGCATTGCGAACTGAAGCGAAGCGCCGAAGGCCATGTCCTCCCTCTTGCACCTGTCGACGGATTTAGCGCCGCGCGCGTCGAACACGGCCGGAGCACCACCGTTGATCCTAGGACGACGGCATGGCAAAAGCGCCGATTGTTACGCGAGGTTATTCAATCGTGTCTAACGCGAACGGACGGGATTGTGCGGCGGCAGGTTGGAATTATCCAACGGTAGCTTCAACGGTGACTTTCTCCGTCGAGAGCGGTCGCCTTACGGCACAGGCGCGGACAGAAATGGCCTCTGAACTTGGGCTTCGATCGACGATCGGCTTTAGTGTGTCTTTTCCTAATGACATGTCCGTGACATGCGCGCACGGAAAATCCAGGCGGAATCGAGCGGTTTTAGAAAGTCGTTCGCCAACGTCCTCCTGCGCGAATCTATGCTCGCGACTAATAACGTTTCGTGTCGCGAGACACCACCAGGCTCTGTGTGGCAGTAGACTTTCGAGATCTATCACGAACTCCTTGCTCCCCGCGCGACAGGCTTCGCGCGCAAATTCATGGAGAGATACATCGATATTGTCGTGAGCGATATCTCGCAATAGTGCGGTCGCCCGGCTCGATGAACTGCAAACTTTACAACTGCAGCTGTTGGTCGAGCAGCGGACATTTGCATTTCAGATACGAAGGCAGATACAAAAAGAAAGACTCTATGTATCGAATCGTTATATACAGTATATACAGACTGTCCCAGACTCTCTTCCACAATTACTGAATAAAAAAGTCCCCTACCATTTTGCGAATAATCACAGAGTTTTAGGTATTAATTAAAAAAGATTTGTGCATTATCCCGCACAATCATATAACAATTTTCTTTTATTAGTAATTAAAAATTCACGTGGTTATTTGCAAAATGATAAAGAACTTTTTGTTCAATTTGACTTAATATACAAGCACACAATAAGAGACATCGCTACTACAGCTTATTTATCATATCGCGTGATCACCAATCTTCTTCAATTACTCAGACAACATAATGTCTAAAATCGGAACATAAGACGTTTTAAAAATTATCTTTAAGACGCCTTAAAGACATTTATACGTAAATCGTCTGAAAGACATCTTAAAGATGATCTTTAAGATCCGATTTTAGATATTATGTTGTCTGGGTAATATCTTGACTATTATTGCGAATGTCGCAAAATGATACAGAACTTTTATATTTACCTCAACCCGTTCCCACAAAAATTACGAAGGAAAGTTTGAGATATTCTGTTCATATTATATGCAAATATTATATAATACATATATTTCATAGAAAGAGAGAAAGAAATATATTTATCTATTTTCTATTTGTCTATATCTATCTGTTTCTATCGATATCTATTATCAGAACCTGTAACAGCATTTTTCTTGCAATCCGGTATAGCGGCGATGATTGGGCAGAAATTAAGTCATTGCCATATCGTCAACACAATGCGCAAACGAATTAAAAGCTTTCTTGGGTCTTCAAGGCGAGAAAACAAACGTGCGTGAAAATCCGATGAAGGTGATTCATTCTTCTACGGCGTGTCATGTAATCCCTTATGAGGGCACTATCGTCGCGCGAGAAAAAGGCTTTGTATCAGAACAAAGGGTATAGGATTCACGTCTCAATCGAAGAGAGAAGGGCAGATTTAACAAAAAATAGGAGCCTCTTGGCCGAACAGAGCTTCGGTACTTGAAAGACGGACCTTTTCGATCAAACACACAAAAATTCGTTAATAACAAGTGTTTTACTAAATATTTGAATTATTATAATTCTGTTACAGAGACACACACTCACACAATGATACGACGCGAGTGTTATGAATAGTAATAGGATTCAACAAAACTGAGATATTTGGGTTGAGCCGTCATCGGAAATTACACATTTGAACAATTTTTTATTCCATTGACAACCATGTGAGAATTGTGAAGCATTACACGATGCTTCAATTGCTTATGACTGAGACCAGAAAACTGTGAACATTTTAACTTGAAACCACAACCGTGAATAACTCACATCAGGTTTTCAACCCCGCGCGAGTTTCGGCTCGTAATATCCGATTCTGGAAATCCTCAAGTCCACATGATTGCCTCCCGATGTCTTGGCGATTGTTGTTGCGATTGTTTGAGCGTGTGCACTTTTTGCACAATCGCGCGTTTGTCTTCTTACCTTATTTACTCTCCTGCAAATTCTCAGTTGCGCGAGGGGACCTTGGCTGAACTCTTCGTCGCGCAAACGATAATAGATGTTTCCGCATATTCTACCACGAGGAGCATTAAATAAACGAGCGGCGCTATTATGTTGAGCTCAGCGACTTAAGCAAATAATAAATTTACGTAACAACGAGTACTCCGACGGGGAAATAAGGAGCAAAAAGGATTGCGCACTTTTCGCATTGCGCGTTTAACGAACCATACGAGAAATTCGATTTTACGTCCAGAGCCATTCGATCTATACGACAGATAACGAAGAAATGTATTGTGCATTTCATCGTTGGGGCGGCAGACATGCATACGCGGCTCGATATATTATAAATGCAAAACACTAATTGAGCAGCTCATATTTCTTGCACCCGCATAGATCGTACTTTCAACACTACAAGCACAATCGCACATCTGCGTCGCAAATTATCCGGAGAATTATTCGCGAAAAGTCGACACTTCGCTACAACTCCGACGATTGTTACTGCTTGTGAATAATTGTACGAAATTATTGCTCTTTCGCGCACTTAAACGCGGCTTAAAGAACTTCGAATCGACTTCTACTCAGAGCTGGAAAGTAACGTGTCTCTGATGACGCCGTTTTACCGTTACGCGTTACTTTCTTTCAGTAACAGCTCGGTAACGGCGTTACTTCTTTTTCTTTTTCGCGTTAGCAACGATGACGGTAACGCAATTACATCTTTTGGATAACGGTAACGAGTTATTTTTCGAGATGAGTTACGGGAATGGACTTACCTTTCTCAATGCGTAACGGTTTACTTTTGAGAGGTGACTTTCCCAATCTCGCCTTCACTTCACTGCCTCTTGCCTTTCGCAGGTCTCTGAGATGTTACGAATTCTGAATGCCGAGAATGCAGCGAGCAGAATAATAATAGTTAAGGACTGGTTGTGTGCTTTCACTTTCAGATGTGGCAAAATCTAAAGTGCGTCGATGACTTCTTGAACCGTGCGTTTCACAAATTAGGCCTCATCGTCGGCCGGCACCCGGGCTACTTCGTGATCGTACCATTGTTGTTGGCCTGCATATGTTTCACCGGCTATCAAAGGATACACTATGAAATCGACCCGGAATACCTATTCTCGCCCATCAACGGGCCCGGCAAGACCGAACGAGCGGTGGTCGAGCAGTACTTCAAAGTCAACTATAGCTATCAATTCGATCTTAGTCGTATCACCAGACCAGGTGAGAGCCTCGCCGATCATTCGTTTTGTTATTCACACGATTTCTTCGTCTACGAGAAATTCTATGACGAGTCTAACGAGCTTAGTGTCCTGCGATATAATTAAAAGACTGACATAGATTCTGTAATATATAGTCCTTGTACTCGTAACATACTCGTGAGTGCACAGCGCTAGGTCAGAGAGAATCCGCGAGTGTGTCGAGAGATACGGGTTATCAAATATGTCCGTTGCAATATTTATTTATGATGTATGTGCGTCGACTACATCCGTCGATTTTCTTGTTTTGGCAGGCCGATTCGGCCACGTCATTGTGATTCCCAAGGATGGCGGGCACAATATGCTGAAGAAGGAGATTTGGCAAGAGCTGATGGAACTCGATCGGATTATTAAGGACATCAAAGCCGAGTATGAGGGCGAAACGTTCACTTACCAGCAAATCTGCGCACGATGGCTCGACGAGTGTTTCGGAAACGATATTCTAGACCTGCAGCTAGTGATAACGTAAGCGTGATATTACTATAATTAGTACGATTCATGTTATATGAGTTAGTAAAATTAGTATTATTATAATGAATATATACTACACAGAATTAAAGGGTCCTGTGGCTAAATTAAAGATTTATTAATTGATGCAATCGCGCCTTGTCTCAAAGCTATTCGCCAGTTTTCGTGGAAGTTTTAATCCGATCTTAACCCTAGGTTACCACACTGGATTTTATCCCAGATAAGACTTTGCGGGTCTGCCATTTTGGGAATTATCAACTGCGAGGTTGCATATTTTCCAAACTACTATCTTTTGCATATTTCTCTATACATAGACGAATTCCTTGAAGTCTGGCGTTTCGATGGAAAAATAATTTTTTTCGAAATTGGTTGACTTTTGTGGAAGTTATAACGAAATATATGACGTAAGGTAGCCATTACTCCAGTATGGCAGATCCGCGATTTTTTGAAGTTTGGTATCTTAGGGTTAAATTTGAATTTTAAATCTTAAATTTACAAATTTTACATTTTTATTCAATTTCAGACTTTTTATTAAATTTAATTTGAAAATTAAAATCTGATATTAAAATAACGAGTTATTTTTCAAGATGAGAATAACGACAACGAGTTACTTTATTCAGGGCGCGTTTCGTTACGTGCTCGCAACGCTCGCGAGCATCATTCTATCTTTGTTGCTCATGAATGTTAAACAAAAGTAGAATGACGCTCGCGAGCGTTGCGAGCGTGTAACGGAACGCGCCCTCAGTGTGTAATATAGGTTACGTTTGAGAGAAAACTCAGACAAAAGATCGATTAATTCGACACACAATCACGTTGGCGAACGATGTTTTTGTCGGCAAGTTACTCGCTAACTTGCGTCCATGTTTTAATCGGACTTTAAATTTTCAGCGAGGTGGAAAGTGGGGATCTCAATCTCACGTTTCCGATTATGTTGAATCCGGTCACGTTGGATGCTCTTGTGTTTCCGGTGTTCTTCGGCGGAACCGTCATCGATAACGGTGTGATAAAATCGGTGCCCTCGGTGCAGCTCGCCTACTTCATTACCGTCGACAGTCCGCGACAAGACGCAATGTAAGTCCACCGAGCATGTCGAGTCTCGCTTATCGAGTTCACGAACACGTCATAGCCTGATGGCGAAACTGGTCACTTATCTTAATTACGCACGGCAAAGATCTTGAAAGTAGTGCCTCTCGCAATTTACTATAAATAAGGAAACGATTGGAATTCTGTACGAAGATAAACGGGCAACAATCTCGTATAAATATCGCGGAACTACCGTTTAAGCAATATATCCTTAAAACATAACGCCGCCATCAATTATCTTTCAGGCTAATTTTGTTTTTCACAAATATTCTGGAGTCAAACAAAAATCTTGTAACTGGGATCACGTGTTGAAAAATAAAATAAAAGATATCTCCTTATCTCGCTTCTCGCCAAGATTCAACATCAGTATTTCCTGTTTACTTGTGTATTTTATCATCGTGTTATATAAAGCTATTACAAAATATATTTTTGATCTTTATATTCAATAATGTTCAGTAATTGTAATAGAAGAGCGATAACTCATTAATTCGTTGCATGATCGCTATCGTTCATTGGCATCGGTGGTCTCCATGAAAATAATATTTGATTCATTCATGACCATTGGTGCTGATTGCCCATTGTTACCATTAAAGGTGCTAAAGCATTACAATGAAACATATATCAGCATTTTCCTTGCAATACTTTGTTTCAGTTAACCAAGTTGTTTGTGTTAACTATGACCTGAGCAAAAGTAGTAGCAGAAAAACTTGTGATTTCACTAAAATATCGATCGTGTGTGCGCACGCGAACGTGTATATGTGGGTTTGATTAACACGTTTGCTATCAGCATCATGAGTAACGCAACGATCTTTCACGAGAGACTAGAGTTACACACGTATGATAGAGCGATCGTTTTCCTTCCTATATTTATATAAATAGACTAAATCTATTCCACGCACAAATACATTAACTCTTAATTATAAATTATAATCAATGTAATTGAACAGAACAAATTTAGCTTGTTTATGCAGCATAGGAATCGTTGTCACCACATATTTAACTCTGATCTTCCGTGACAATTAATTATTAATGACATACATTATGTACTAATTATACAAATTATTAATTATGATAATTATGCAACTGTTCTACACAATTACATAAAGAAATGATGCGATGTGGTCTGTGGAGAGAATTTTCTAAATAAATTCTGGTTACTAACATGTCAGATGCAGACAGGATCTTGGCCCATTAGACGAAACTTTTTTCCTAGGACCCAACCGTGCTCCGCATGACACTTCTCTTCGATATCCTAATTGAATTTCTTATTTGAATTTCTTCTTTTCTGTCTCTAAATCAGCGGGGCCGCCTGGGAGGAGGCGTTTCTGGAAGTCATCGGCAAGGTCGAGGATGAAGGTGCGTTCAAGCACATTAGCACCGCGAGATTCGCCTCGAGGACCCTCGAGCTGGAACTGGAGGCCAATACGAAGACGGTCGTGCCGTACTTTGCCAGCACGTTCATCATAATGGGTCTGTTCTCGGTCGTGACATGCATGATGACCGATTGGGTGCGCAGCAAACCTTGGCTTGGTTTGCTGGGTAACATCTCGGCCGCCATAGCGACCGTCGCTGCTTTCGGATTGTGTATGTATCTGAGGATAGACTTCATCGGCATCAACCTCGCCGCGCCGTTCCTCATGATCGGTAAGTCGCCGATTTTAAGTTATTACTGCGGACAGAACAAACCTTTTGGAATTCTTTCAAACTAAATATTATCGTGATTTCTTTATTTCGTTCTTATATAAATCGGTCAAGGTAGTTACGTCAAGTTTTACGTTCTAACATTGCCTAGACAGTACAAACTTCTTAGGTCTGTATTAATAGCCGTTACTTGAAGCTATCATAGTTTAAGTAAACAATACTCGATTTAAATGAAGAGAATTTTGATTTAATTAAATATATTACCCACCTAATAAATATTTATTAATTTTTAAATATTTTTTTTCTCAGTATATTAGTATGAGTCTACACGCAAAAAAATGACTTAGTAATATCAGCTAAATCGCGGTAGCTAATTCAAACTTAGTCAAAAGGCTAATCGTTTAGCTGTCACTGCTAAGAATTGGCTATGACAGCTAAAATGCATTCGCTATGAAATACAAATATATTACAAATACATTAAAAATGCATATTATTTCAAGTAGCTAAGAAAATGGTAGTTATTCCTAAATTTCTTATCGTATGCATATATTAAAAAAGTTTGCCGCACAGCTACAATCATTTGCTACAGTCATTTGTTTCTAGTAGTTAATATTTCTCGCAGTAGCGCCTAAGTTTAAACAGCGAATAAATTTAGCTTCGGTAATATCGACATTAGCTGTTCCTATTTCAGTGATACATCTTATCTGCCATAGCTATTTTTCAGCTCTGGAAGCTAGTTTTTTTGCATAAGAAATGTACGAAAAAGACGTCTGAAAAAGATATTTTATTTTATTTAGACGTCTTTAAGACATCTTTTAGAAGTTTGTGCTGTTTTCCACATGAATGCCACGTCTGTCTCCGCGTGTCACATCTAATTTCTCAGACAGTATGAATAATAATAAGAAACGTGATTTTAACAGTAAATTAAAACAGCGTGATAATGTACGTCTGGAGTTTGTGCTGTATGTAATGTCTGGAATTTGTGCTATTGTGTAAGATAAAGGCGATATTAATAGTATTTTAAAAAAACAATACATCTTCCTATTCAAAGCGGAAAAGTAACGATATTTTCAGATGCGGACACCTTCCAATTACACGAACAATCTAATATCGCCAATACTCGACCCGAGTTCGTCGGACAATCTGTGATTACAGAACTTGCAGAACTTTTTGCATAACTTTCTCATTCGCGCCTATTTCAGTGATACATCTTATCTGCCATAGCTATTTTTCAGCTCTGGAAGCTAGTTTTTTTGCATAAGAAATGTACGAAAAAGACGCCTGAAAAAGACATTTTATTTTATTTAGACGTCTTTAAGACATTTTTTAGAAGTTTGTGCTATTTTCCGCATGAATGCCACGTCTGTCTCCGCGTGTCACATCTAATTTCTCAGACAGTATGAATAATAATAAGAAACGTGATTTTAACAGTAAATTAAAACAGCGTGATAATGTACGTCTGGAGTTTGTGCTGTATGTAATGTCTGGAATTTGTGCTGTTGTGTAAGAAGAAGGCGATATTAGTAATATTTTAAAAAAACAATACATCTTCCTATTCAAAGCGGAAAAGCAACGATATTTTCAGATGCGGACACCTTCCAATTGCACGAACAATCTAATATCGCCAATACTCGGCCCGAGTTCGTCGGACAATCTCTGATTACAGAACTTGCAGAACTTTTTGCACAACTTTCTCATTCGCGCCGTTCCGTATGTATCTCGCGAATCCCTGTTAATATCAGCTATCCAAAGGTTTGTCAATCGATACTCAGATTGATACCTCGCGAAAGTTGAGTAACAATAATAACGACAGGACTTCGTCTTTTTTGCAACGCGATGCCGTAATCTCCTGTCACGTCTGTAGAAACACGTATTTCCACGACGATAAGTACGTTAGCTCGCCGTCAGGTGCGTATGAGCGAAATAAACGAACTATGATTTATGTGAAAAGCGGAAGTCTCCTTTTCTCTTTCAACGTTGCGCTCGCCTGCGTACGACGCCGAATAAAGTCAGTCTTCACCGGTAACAGCGACTCTGTACGATTCAATTTAATGATCGTGATTTTTAGATTGACTACCATTAGCTCAAATTTTACCGGGAAATACTCAGCAACAATGATTATATCGGCGGATCAATCTTCATTACTTAATTTACGTGAAGCAATTCGGCTCATAAGTAATCGAATTACGCAATATGATATGTGAATAATCGAGTTGCGTGCGACACGATCAATTCGTTTGGTCAATCTTAATTTTGCAAGAGAAACTGCTATTATATTCAAGCGAGAAAACTTTGACGGATCTTCACAATAGTCACGCGTTGTTTTGATCAGATTTCTAATACGTATGCGAAGTACATTATTTCGCGGTTTTAATTTTCTGCTAAAATCACGTTTCCTATTATTATTCATACTGTCTAAGAAATTAGATGTGCAGACAGACGTGACATTCATGCGGAAAATGGACGCTGATAATTCCTAGAGTGATCACATATTGACAAAATACATCCCCCAAGCGTTATTATTATTCTCGGAAGACTTACTCACGATTGGTGACTACATCAGATGTGAAACCGACGTACAATTCCTTTGGAATTATAATTGAGTGATATTAAATTACTAAAGAAACCGCAGACGTTACGAAGAATACATTATCATGACACTTCTGTAGTTCAAAGGTAAAAGACTCTCAAGAAGTGAGTCACATCTTATGGCAAATTTAGAATCGATGTTTTGTTCACATACAGTTTATAAGTTGATACGTATATAAGAAAGAAATAATTGTTCGGCAAATTAAAATACAGAAATGTGGCACGTACACAAAGAAAAATAATTTACTGGTCCAGCAAATTTTCTGCTGGTCTAGCAAAATCTTTTCGTTATTATATGGATAGCAAAAAGATTTGCTAAGAGTACTAATCACTATTTGCTGGATATAATTTTCTGAATCTATAAATTATTTTGCTATAAGAACCATAATGGATTTATATAAACAGTTGCAGTTTTGCTCCGATAGCAAATAAATTTGCTAAGAATACATTATTTTGCATCAGTAGCAAATTAACATGATTCTTAGGACAAATACACTCAACAAATTTTTTCTATCCTGGCAACGAAACTACTTCTGCTTTGATAACGAATCATTTGTAAAATTAGTTACGTCAACTAAATTTTTTTGATGTCACTACGATATGCAGTAGCAACGACGATTTTGCTAAAAGAGCAAAATTTTTTTTCTCCGTGTATATACAGATGTAACACAATAAACAATTTGCCTTTTTTCGTTTAATAGGAATAGGCATCGATGATACTTTTGTCATGTTAGCGGCTTGGAGGAGAACGAGCATCAACAAACCGGTGCCAGAAAGGATGGCAGCAACATTGAGCGAGGCAGCTGTTTCCATCACCATCACATCACTAACGGATATGATATCCTTTTTCATCGGCATTATGTCGCCCTTCCCTTCAGTCAAGATTTTCTGTATTTACTCAGGTAAAAAATATATCGGGAGAATTCAGATTACTATTGCTTACAAAGTATCTAAAAAGAAATCTTTGTGTGAAATCTTCGTATTTCATGAAGACATAACAAGCGGGAAAGAATTAAAAAACATACGTGAGAAATTGCAATGATTTGGATTGATTTGAATGATATTCTGTGTATATGTTATGCTGAAATCGTGATATGTGATCCATATTTTTAACACCAGGTATATGTTAAATGACAGGTTTCGCGGTAGTTTTCACTTTCCTGTTTCACATAACGTTCTTCAGTGGATGCGTCGCGATCAGCGGTTATTGCGAACGAAAAAATTTGCACAGCGTCATCTGCTGCAAGGTGCAGCCTTTATCTAAATCCAGTGAGTATCCATCGTTATTTCATGCCACTATCGCTACTTAGATCCTCCTACGACGCTGATTTAAACGCAATAAAAATTGTATAACGAATACAACAGGTAGTTTGTTAATTTTGATTAATCATGATCTGCAGTCATAAATCACTAGTACTTCATGAGCTTATAAATTTGAATGTTCTTATTTTTGTTCCTGTGTCAATCATGTTGCCAGACACCCCCATTCGAAATCTTGTTACGTCTGGTAGTATGACGTACCGCAGTTACGTCAATGGACTGACGCGTTGAATACCGTTAATTCGTTAGATCACATCCTATTATGTAACGAAAAGAACGTACTTTCTCCTTACTTCATCATTTTAAATATTAATACATCCGCAGCAAAGTATAAAAAAAGCTATTAAAAAAATTTTATTTCGGTATAAACTCAAGTTTACATCAAAACGAAGAAGCTAAAAATTATAACTCCTTCCAATTTTATTGTATCATACTCGATTGCAATTATAATATCGCATTGTGCACGAAAGTATTTGGTAACAATCAGTAAAAAATTTCTTTGTGAAAAGAAATAATATATAGATATTTGCAATTACGACGCAACGTTCTTGAAACAAATGTGAAAAAATAAGTCAAGAACAATACAGTTTTCAGTATCAAGTCTGGATACTCGAGCATTTGAGCTTTCAGGTTTTTATTCTTATTATTTTTCTTATCTATTTGTCAAACCATTGTATGCGTAAAAGGATTGACTTTACCTTCATATTTTTATACGTAAATTAACGAGGAAAGAATGTGCATGCATGAACAAACATATATAAAAAAAACATACAATTAATTAAAAAAAAGCATCTTGATTTCGAATATGCCGGGTTTTACTGATAGCGTTCGTTGTAAATATCTTTATTTGCATTAAATAATATATATCTTCATCAGCATTGTGTGCATGATATTTCAGCTCATCGGTCGTGGTTCTACAGAGTGCTATGCTCCGGCGGAATTGATCCTGACGACCCTCACAATCCGATCGACAATCCCGAGCACGGATGCATGACTTGGTTTCGCGATTATTTAGCGACCGCGCTAAACTATCGTCCCGTGAAAGCGTTCATCATCGCCATTTTTATCTGCTATCTTTTCGGCGCCCTATACGGACTTACGACCCTCCAGGAAGGTCTGGAACGACGCAAACTCTCGAAAGAGGATTCCTACTCGATCGCCTTCTACGACCGCCAAGACATTTACTTCAGGGAGTTCCCTTACAGGATACAAGTAAGTTGAAAACTTCGACTAAAAACTTACGAGACTTGCAAGACGGTATGCCACGTTAACTCCTTCGTTTCTTATCATATCATTATGTCTAACTTTATGGTAGCTGTCTTACCACATTTAATAAATTCTAACTACTTGAAAAGAGCAAAAATTACGAAGATATGAAAGAAAAAATAACCTGCCTTGTAATATGAAATTAATGTTAATTAAATCAATCCTTTATTTCTATTTATTTCAACAGAAACAATTTTTGAAATCGCGATAGTCAACATTATCGCATATTACAACCTTGAAATTCACTTCAGGATCTATGTCGGCCGTTATTATTAGAGTTCCGTTTCCCGCGCGCGCAAAAAATTTCCGATAAGCGACGTAAAAAAGAAATGCTAACGTCGGAAGAACGTTCGGAGTGCGTTACGCTCGGAACTGCCACGCATAATCCAGTACGCGCAATTATGTCACGTGCTCGCCTCGATACGACGCGATATCGTGCGAACAACTTTCTCCGACTGGCTAGCTCGGACCTTAAGAAAAGCAACGTACGTTACATCACGCTTCCCCGAGCCGATCGATCGGCAAGAAAGACCATCTAAACGGAGAGATCCCCAGCTCGTGTATAAATCCTCGCTTCTGCTTACTTGAGCTCTACTTGAATCAAGATAATTTCACTTTCAATATTTACACTGCCGTGGACACGTTTTCTTTTCTACTTCGTTCTTCTTTTGTTCAACATGTTACAACGATTTTTGCAACAGGGAACGCTACAAGAAGCTACTTTTACTGCATAAATAAAGCAGTTGAGTGTGACTTATTAACACACTTGCTATGCGATAATTCTTTATTCTACGTATATGTGAACAAATTAAGTCTGTTTTGCGTTATTACATAAAAAAAAAAAAAAAAAAAAAAAAAAAAAAAAAAAAAAAAAAAAAACAAAAGATACAGAGGATGTTTTGGACCGTTTCCCAGTCGAACGATGAGGTGGCGAGTGCGTTAATCCTCGGGAGGGAATATTGAAGGCATACACTTTCACGCCTTGCACGCAAAAGCACCGCACAAAGTTGCATTTCACTTGCATCTCCACTTGCGGTAACACGTAGCGACGGAGATACGGTCGCGCGAAGGTGCAGCCAAGGTGAATTCGCCGCGAAAGATCGGTCGCCACCTGTCGATCGTTTCAATTGGATAATTGCGCATTTCGTAATGCGACGGCGGTGACAATGCCGACACGCGGCGCGCGTTTCTTCGCCCGGCGTTGAAATCTCTCCGATGAAGTAAAATCCATAAAGAGCGGTGAGATACGGTCGAGCTGAATTTCACTGGGATCTTTTTCCCCGTTGCGTCGTAGCCCGACACATTGTAGTGAAAGTACGTTTCTCAAAGATGGTCTCGCGCTATCGCGTTGCTTCGCGATATTAATAAATGCCGCGGACGTAGTCGTCGAGTTCTGATGACTTCGCGGAAACGTCGCTCACCTTAGAAACCGTCGTCACGATCAACTCCCTCGGATCCCTCGATATCCGGCGTAATTAGGCCCGCTCGTGAAGCACCTTGCGTCGAAACGTGCGTCAACGTGTCCGAGAACAAACAGATTGCATCATCGTGATGAAACGCGATGTTGCGTTTCATCGGGATCCGGCAGCGGACCGACGCGCTTTCACGAAATTACTTTCACGAGGGCATTGCGGAAATCCCCAAAAAGTTGCCCGACCCACGCCACACTCTTGATGTTAGTTAGTGTCGCTGACCTTATAATTACGAGTGCTGCGAAAGGAAAAGTTGCGAAGACAGTGGTCAGCTGAATTCTAGACCGCACGTAATTTATGATACGCCATTGTCTTGAGGACCACAAGAACTATGTATCTACAGGCAATTTCACATACAGTACGAATCACTAAAAGATGTCTTAAAGACATTCAAAAGTTGTCTAAAAGAAATAGAATGTCCTTTGGACATTTTTTTAATAGATCATGCTTAAATGTTGGATGTAATGTCTGATGATGAAATAAAATGTAAGTGGTATGCCGGTAGATTAACAGCAGATTCAATGAGAATACCTTATTCCAAGTGTAAACAATGCAACTATAAAGAGCAGACCTATCATTTCTTCTGGACTCATCTGTTTCTCCGAGTCTTTCGCCTTTTTAATTTAGAATATTAGCCGAGTGCCTCCTGTTTCAATCGCATCTTCATTGTCTTCCAGGTTGTGGTGACCGGCGATTACAACTACAGCGATCCGGTGATCCAGACACAGATGGAGAACCTGACGAGGAACTTAGAATCGAGCAAGTACATCAGCGCGCCGATCTACACCGAGAGTTGGCTGCGCAATTTCCTGATATATATATCGACCGAAGAGAGCTACCTAAACGTCAGCATTGACAACGAGCCTAACTTCATCAAGGTGCTGAAGGAGTACTGGCTGCACGACACCAGCGTCTATTCTCTCGACGTGAAGCTCGACGCCGCGAAGGAGAAGATCGTAGCGAGCCGGTTCCTGATCCAGGCGGTGAACGTGAGCGGTACTAATCAGGAAAAGGACATGGTGAAGGAGCTACGCGGCATCTGCGACGAGTCACCCCTGAACGCCAGCGTGTTCCACCCCTACTTCGTCTTCTTCGACCAGTTCGAGCTGGTACGGCCCACCAGCATCCAATGCATGATCTTCGGCGCGCTCGTCATGATGTTCATCAGTTTCATCTTTATCCCCAACATTTTGTGCTGCTTGTGGGTCGCCTTTTGCATCGTATCGATCGAGCTGGGTGTCGCCGGCTACATGGCGCTGTGGGGTGTCAATCTCGACAGCATCTCCATGATTAACTTGATCATGTGCATCGGCTTCAGCGTCGACTTCACTGCGCACATCTGCTATGCCTATATGAGCTCGAAGCGGACCTGGCCGGAGGACCGGATGAAGGACAGCCTGTATAGTCTCGGCTTGCCGATCGTCCAAGGCGCCGCCTCGACGATTCTCGGCCTGGTTGCACTCCTATTGGCCGGCACTTACATCTTCCTCGTATTCTTCAAGATGGTCTTTCTGGTGATCTTCATCGGCGCGATGCACGGTCTGTTCCTGTTGCCGGTATTGTTGTCCATCTTCGGGCCAGGTGCCTGCACCAGTCACCCGGACGAGCCTGAAGACACGGAGAACGCGAACGGTGCGCAAGAAAAGGAGACGACGAACAAATTTCAACAACCTTTCGTGATTCCACATCCTCATCTAGTCTATTACACCGCGGGTGCGGTCAAGCCGCTCCAGGACAGCCCGGCGACCAGCATGGCAGCCTTCGAAGAACGGGATCCTGGTCTGGGTACCAGCGAGGACAGCAACTCGACCGAGAGCGGCTCCTCGCAGAGCAGGAGACGCCAATGCAAGCAGCAGGAGCAACAGGACCAGCCGCCGAGTCAGGCTCGCCACGAGATGTGGAGGAGGTCGATTGGCGTTCTCTACGGCCTGTCGCAGTTTCAATCCAACGAGCCGCCGCATCCGGCGCCAGATTACCCCGGCGCCGTGACGGATAATCCCCAATCGTCCGGCGAAAATAGCAATTCACGAATGCCTTACCTGGGACCCTACGTCGTGTACCGTCAGCCGAGTCAGTTGCCGCGAGACTACAAACGTAGCAGATCTTATCACAATCTGCAGCATCCTACGTCGACGCGGTATCCAACGGATCCTCGGTATCCTTAGAAAAAAGGGGGAGTCTCGTGAGAGTGTAAAAAAGAAAGATATCGACGAAAGAGAGAGAACGAAGTGAGAAGTCCCTCGCTTGAGAATTCGGCCCCTTGAAGCAGTATGATGGCGATACTTAGCTGAGATATTTCGTTATCGTAAAATCTTGACGTAGAATAAGCTACGACAATTCGAATAACGCGATAACACGAAGGGATGGGAAGAGAAATAGGAAACACAAAGGGGAGAGAATGTCAGGTGGCGTTCACTATGTTTATTTGTGAGTTACGACTCACATGTTTCAGGGGCCTGAGTTTTAAGAGTCGGAGTTCAACGATGTGATCTTGAAGACTTTTTATACAATAATGCTTACTACGAAATAATAGCGGATCTAAGCGGCGTTAAAATTGTGTGACATTGCGTTTGTAGATGATATCTCGCGATATCGATGCTTCAACATTACTTGAAGAACCAAGTATTGTAACAGAGTGTCCTAAGAAGGATGTGTATCAATTAGGCAGGTATGATACATCACCAAAACAGTAATGGCATTCTCTCCAAAGAATTTAAGGGATATGAATGCTCTGTCATCGTAGGTATAGTCGAAAGGACAGATCTGTCAAATCTTAAATCTCTCGAGACTTATCGATTCTTAGATCTTTAGCATCGTAAATTCACACTCGTCCATATATTGTTACCGTATATGTAATTATAATATTGTAACTGTAGCACTGAATGTAGCTATATGATCTTAAGTTTTGTTCATCTAATATATAAGCGAAGCGAACGTAAAGTGAAGATTAGATAGACACACATAGTGCTAAATATACGGTGAAAATACAGGACATAAACTCGAACACAAGTTTTCACAATTCTTGAATTGATTCTTGAAAATGCTTTTGCATTTGGATAAATTTCTATTCGATTCCGACCAGTAGATTAACGTAGATTCTCAGATCATAAATCGATATCGATACGTTAATCCATCCTTCTACTATCACAGATTTCAGATGACACAAAATATCGCAGAATCATTCCGAATGTGCCCAGGATGTTCTGGGAAATATCTTAGGACATCCCGGTGTATCCAGGATGATCTCAGAATGTTGTCCGCTATCTGGGATTCCTCACTTTTGTGTTGGCGTACATATTTTATATTGCGCCCTTCGCAGCCAAAGGATTAATCTCGTAGCACTCGGGTTATGCAATTCTCCGTGTAAGGATAATGCACTCATTCGAAAAGGATAGAGTCGAAATGACGATGACTCGTTCGGGCTCACGTTAGTTGTTAAGAATAGCTCAAACCGAACGATATAGCATATATAAAAATACATATATATATACATATATATACATATTCATATATATATGCTCAATATATTAATCAAAACCAAAATATGTCTCACGACATAATAATTAAGTATCCAAGGCGTCTTGTTCGATCGACGTATGAATTGTCCCAGTCTCACGTCGAGCAGCATGTAGTGCCTTAAATTAGCAGGTTTTTTTTTTATTGTATAATAAAGTCGAACAATTTAGTTTGGCAGGTGGTTTGAACAATGTTATGTGGGAAACAAAAATTTATTTCATTTAAGAAGTAGTAAAACTTTTTACTGTTTCTTAAAGAATTATAGCTTCAAAGTTATGTTGCGTTTTATAGACGTTTTATAGTCATTTGATAAATAATATTAAAGATTGCTATTCTTGACATATTTAGGGATCATTGTAAAGATATCCTAAATTTGTAAGACTTCATGTTTCACGCAGAAACGTTTTTGGAAGTCTTACTTGAGGGTTTTTACATTGTTTAAAAATTTATTCAACTGTTTATCTCATAGTAGATGTGGAATACTCAGGAAGGAGTCAATAAGTCGTCCTTACGAGCGTTCCATTCGACGAACGAGCTGTTCATTATGTTACAAGAATGAATAGCAATTACATTACTTATCTTAGGACGAGATAATAACGGAAATACGTGTGGGTGAATATACTTGAAGAAGCTTTTTCATAATTAACGATGTACAGATAACTCCTTCTTCGCTTCGCGATTTCAGAGTGCGTGTTTTTTCATATTTATGAATGCGAGAGAGAGAGAGAGAGAGAGAGAGAGAGAGAGAGAGAGAGAGAGAGAGAAAGAGTGAATATAAGAAACAAACAATATTGTAACTAATAACAAACATGAAGGTTTGTTGTTGTTAGAAAGAATAATTAATATAGAAAATATATTCTGGCAAGAGAAAGTCTTTTAAATTCGTCGACTCTGTTTATTTTTTCCTTCGAAACCTCATTCCTATTTTGAAAGAGAAAGGAAACTTTCATAAATAAAATATATTATCATATAATAAAAACATTTTTATATTTTTTTGCTCAATTATAATATTTTTCTAAAGTATTTAAAGGGATATAAAGTAGATCAAAATATTTGTTTTTTTTTTTTGCAATTTGCATTATTCTTATTAATATTTTATATGTATTTACATATTTATAATAGCATATACAAAAATCTATTTAACCAACTGTTCGATTGCCCTACTAAGAAATAAAAATTTATCTGATATGTCGCGTTGAGTAGCACTATTCAAAAATTAAAAAATCAGATTATAAATAATTATAACGTATGATGATGATAACGTTTCTATAATCACACTATAAATACGAAGAAAAGAACACTAGATTTGCAATCAATGTTGATAATTTGATTTACTAATATAGTTTCCGACAAGTTTAAACAACTCTTTCGTCAGATAAGAAGATCAATTAAAGATGTTAAAGATGTTAACAATTTTTTAAAGATGTTAACAGACGTTAACATAAAGAATTTTCTAATACTTAAAAAAATAATGTAACTTACAAATTGTCTCGTAACAATTGAGACGCCGCCGTTATGTAGAACAAAAGTCGAAATAATTAAATGTCAAAATTAGGGAACATCTCATTCATCTAAAAAATTTCGTTTCGAGCTCGGTGAGCTCACTTCGTAATTAGCACCAGTTCATCATGTAGCTACAATGGAAGGCCATACACGAAATTATGTGACACAAAATTTGCGTCATTTTTTAAATGTAAGTTCTCGTCAATTCGATTTTACGTTTATAATTGACATTATCTTTAACCACTGGTTATTATACAACCACTTATAAGATAGTCATTTATTGATCGAGATTTCTGTCTAGTTATTGTTAAATGGTGAATTGCTTACAATACATAATTATTGCGCGCTGATAACCGTAGTAAGGCTGCAGTAAAATTTATTTGCCATTTTTTTATCTATATTAGCTATGAACAGGATTGCAAAATTAATTGCAAGAGGATTGCAATTTATAATCAACCTTTATTTAGGAATATACTCTTTGCAAAACCAACTTGTAACCAATCTTCAGTAAAAGTATGTGTGTATATATATAAGCTGTGTTATATAAAACTTCCACAATGTAATTACACGATTTAATCTGCAATGACCCTTATATAAAGACATGTAAGTTTTTTAACAGATGCAATTTTAACTTGAGATGCGATTTAAATCAAAAATATATAATGCAATATTTCATCCTCTTCTATTCTTAATAATAGTACAGTATTGTATCAATAAATCAGAGGATTACATAAACATCATTTAGAACATCATATTTTTCATGTTCTTAGATTTTATTAAAAACGCCACTGACTTTAAAGATCCTGACTTCTCGCCATAGCCATTTTAGATTATGACATCGGAAGCAAATTTGTAAAATATCGAACTATATTTTTGCTTTAATAATTAATGAATAGCCATAAAATTAATTGTACAAATTAATTAATAATTGCTCATTAGCACAAATGCCATTATAAGTTTTTTAGACTTTTGTATATATATCTTCTTGCTTTTGATATCATTAATTAAGATGGCTGCGGGGCAAAAAAACAAGTTTTAATATCAAGCTGAAAGTTCAATAGTGACATACACGTAGATAAAAATCCGATCAAACTCAACATATACATTATTAAATATCCAACTGTTCTGGGAAACTGCAGAAAACTTCTGAATGCTACGTTATTGTATAATTATTAAAAAGTGCATTTCTAAGCATGTTCGTCGATATTATCATGCTAGTTTTCATTCCTATTTTCTTGATCTCGTTACATTACGTAAACGATATCATGGAGTATAGCTTAAACCGTTGTATATCTTGCAAATATAAAATCTCTGTATAAATTTGCAAATTAATCTTCTTTTATATGTATTTTAGGCGACTAGAATGTATGAACATGTGGAAAGTCGCTACATAAAATCGTCATATTCACCATATACGTAATCACCGTACTCGCTCAATAGGTTATTATCTCCCTCAATTTTGAGCTTCGCCTTTCCTTTTCCCTTAGTTTTCTTCGCTTTGTCGGACTTCTCCATTTTTTGCTTCTCAATGAGCAAATTGTCAATTGTAGTTTTCACTTTCTTTAAACAACTTGAAGATACTGAAACAAAAAGACAGAATAATCAAATATTAAAAAGAAAAAAAAACTTCATTGTATCAATAAAATTGGTATCAATGTTTGTATTAATATCAGATATTAACAAAATACTAACAATTAAGAGCAATAAACTTTATAAGTTCTTCTGCAAAGTATGGGAAGTCTGCGTGTTTGCTAAATTGATTAATTTTTTGTGAAAGAGCTGCACCAAATTGATCAAATTCTTCTTTCGTACTAGGCGCCATGGCATCAATTGATTCACCTGTCTCTTCTGCTATACCTGCAATGTAAAAGACAATGTAGTTATCAAACACAACTGTCTAGTACTAGAATGTATAACTTGAAGACAGCATGAAACTGTATGAAAACAGCATTAAAATTCTTCCAGAAAATATAAGCAATATGATAATATTTTTCGTAATCTTGTATCTTACTGTTTTTTAATAATAAATTCATCAAATATCTTATAAAATTTATCTTAAAATCTATTAAAACGTCTTACAGTCAAAAAAGATATTAATGGAACAATCTGCAGAGAGTGCTTGCTATATACGCTACATATTGTAAATATGTAAACAATGTAATATTTCTAAAATGATTGTATCCAATGAATTTCGTATATTGTACATTATGCAAAATTTATATGTATCAGGAAAGTGCTTATGTACATCAGAAACGGTACAGGAGACAGATAATAGATGAGAGATAAGGTTACAAAAACTCATGTAAACACAATAATTTGCGTAGAATAGCAACTTTTATTAAAGTACAACAACATCAATAATAAATTTAAATGTAGAGATTGTAATAAATTTAAGTGCTTGTATATACTCTCTTATTCTTTCTCTTTCTTTCTCTCTCCCTGTCTAGTACAGTTCCTGATACGAAGTTACTAAATTTTATGTGGTTACAATTATAACAACTCTGTTCTGTGTTACGACACCAACGGTTAGTTATATTAATATTTGTTAATTTCTCATTTATCTTATTTGTATAAAAACGATAGCTAGTGCGTAGCAGTGCTACGAAGCAAAGGTACTTGTACATCTTTCATGCAAGCATTACATCTTAAAATGATGTTACAATGATAATATACGCCTATGGTAAAGTAATCAAGAAATATATACATACTTTCCCAAAAGGCATCTTTATCAAGTTAAATTTTCACTGACGTGAGTGTATGTGAAAAAAATCTTTTTCAGAGCGTCAGTTAAAAATGTATAAAAAGAAATTTAAAAATTGTTAAACCGAAAAAAACGATTTAATTCATTTCCAAGAAAAATCATTTCTTATCTCTCTTATGTGGTTTACGAGGACTAAAGTCTACTAAATTCGACAAACCAAAAGTTTCCATTGCCAGCCGTAAATCTGCCTCTTCCTGCAACCTCTGGCGCCTTAATAACTCAGTTCGCCTCTCTTCTGGTGTAAGAGCTTCCTCCTTTTCCTTAGCTTTCTTCTCAGCTTCTTCCCTTGCCTTTTTCTAAAATATAATACTTTTAACAAATATACAAACAAAAACCTCTTATAATTTTGTAACTAGAAAGAAACAAGACAAACCTCACGTTCCTCGATCCTTTCAGCCAATGCCTTTTTAGGTTTTGGCTTTGCTTTTGGTACTTCTGCTGGTTTCTCTATGTCTTTCTTCTCCTCTTCGACATCTTCCCAGCTATCCTGTTAGGTTATTTAACACAGATAAGTAAAAGAAATTAATGCTGCAATCCTAAACAAAATCGTAAGATTTGTAACTCGTTCTCGTAAAATTTGTAAGAACTTATGAGTAGATCTACAATTCTATGCATACCATACGATCACTCGTAAATATCTACGATTTCACGTAATTTCCGATATTTACAAGTGATCATACGATATATGGTACACATAGAATTGTAGATCTACTCATAAATTCTTATAAATTTTACAAGAACAAATTACGAGACTTACAATTCTGTTTAAAATTGAAGCATAACTTTTAATTTTATATATCCTTCAATATCATATATACAACATATGGTTTTGTAGAATACTTCACTAATGTTTAAATATGTATAGATATTGGAAGATGACAAAATTTTAATACAGTGTGTTAATAAATTTGTAAATATAATGTAAAATAATGAATTCCTTAAAATATATATTTTTAAACTTATAAAAATTACATATATGTTGTGCACTATTTACTGCTTTTCATACTACTAAACATATGTACAGTTAATTGTGGAAAAGTTGTGCTACTTTCTGTAAATTTTGCAATATAATCCCATGTATAATAGAAAGATTTAAGAAATTATTTATCTGTTTTTGTAATTCTTATAAGAATTTTCCTATTAAATAATAAATGCATTCTGAAGCTTATCAACATGAAATGATTGCAATTTTTCTATCACTAAGTACTTATGTATAAAAACGATCTAAAAGTCAATTATTGATTTGAAAAATGTATAAATATTTTTACAAGTAACATATGTTTGAAATAATTTTTACTATTATTGTACTAGAATTCAAGGAAATTTCTAGGAAATTCAAAATGACAATCTACCTTTGGACCACTATGTATATATATCTACACATAATTCATTATATCATCTTACAGCTACTTATAAATCTAAAGCATGATACATCTGATAAAACATTATGTTCAATATGCTATAAAAATTACGAATTAAGACACGAGAAGTATATGCGAAAAACGAATGAATGATTAATGTCACGAGTAATATCACAGTATGGAACATGTGTTTGTTGTAGGTTAAGTACAATATCACACGCGGATTCACGAAAATATCGACCGCCGTGCGAGCCATATACAAATGTTATTACCTTAACTTCTTCCTCCTCGTCTTCGCCTTCCCACTTGTTCGATCTCATCGCGAGGTCAAATTTCGCCTCGCTATTGTCTACATCTGCAAAGGCACAAGGGAGGAGGTTAAAATTAGGCTCGTCTTAATAAATCACTTATTTCGCAGGTATGAGCCGAAATTACACATTGTTAATTAAAACACCAACACTAGTACGTACCCCATTCCTCATCCATAGCTACCGGCGATTATTTATCGAAAGTCGTTCCTCTGGATATACTGAAAAACTGCCGAACAAACGTGGATACACCAAATACAACTGGAACAAAACGAGCCATACTGTACGAAGGAAACGTGCCAGCGTTATTCCTTCATTCGCACGAGCGGCTGCCTGCGCATGCGCGGTGACCAATCAGAAACAATAGCAAAACGATTTCTTCAGGTTTGTTCGCGCGTATGCTCCAACGTATTCCTATTTGCCCCAATGCGCTCCAATACGTTCGCATCATCGGAACCAATATGGCGACCAGACGTTCGCGTCTCATTGGAGCTTTCCCTATGGAGCAAGTAGGAGAATGCTCTATTTACCCCAGTTTCGGTATGTGTTCCGAAATCGATTTCGGAAACTTCGGTTTTAGTTATAAGGTTAGTAAACCTTAAACTTATGGTGAATTTGATTGGAAGCACCAATGCATACTATGGCCGGTATTCATAGTCCGATCTTATTCACCTTGCAGCATCTTGACAGTGCTCGAAGTTAAAACGGAACGCTACTAGCAATATATTTTCATGACGTCATAGCGTCAGTACTCGCAGTAAATAAAGGAACGTACCCTGTATCACATTCTCCCCACTCTCAACTATACTATGAACCAGATAAGGATAAGAGAGGAAACAAGGAACCTCTCTCTCATCTCGCACGCCTCAAGAAGCAACGTTCCAGTGCTGGGATTCTGTAAAGGTGCCAATACATGGGAGTGTTTCAGCGTCGAGCGTTAAAGCGTTAGCCAATCAACGTATCAGGTCCCAGAAGTATACTTATAGTTCTTGCGGAAAGTAGCACGTTGATTGGTTACTGCTTTAACGCTCGACGCTCGATGCTCCCATGTAAAGGTACTTTAATTCGTTATTGAAGTTAACGACAGTTTCGTTATCGTTGCGCAGCTTTTGTATAACGTACAACGATAACGAAACTGCGCAACGATAACGAAACTGTCGTTAATTTCAATAATAGAATAAAGCTACAGGTAGTATATATAGGCCATTGCACGTAGAAAAATTTTAACCGTAATCGTAAGGTCATAAGAAAACTGATCAATCAGAGTTGATTTTCCTTGTGTTCGAGGAATAATCGACTGTGATTGGTTAGTTTTCTTACGATCTTATGGGTACGGTTAAAATTTTTCTACGTGCAAAGGTCCTATTTCAGTGGAAAGCATTGAGTTGTCATGAATCATGAAGATATTAGATGTTTGTACCTATTATATTTTTCGGCCTTAATGAAACTAACTTGTACTAACACGAACTCGAATTATCGTACACCCATAACAAGAATGTGTTATAATGCAAAATTGATTGCTACGTTACTTGTACGTTGAAATAACGTTCTCCTGCTTGTACTTGTACGTACAAATAAAACGTTCTCCTGCATCATCCTGTAGGTGGAACATTTACTGTTGCCGAGATATTAGCGTGACGTTTCAACAATGTAATGATAAAAATGTTTACCGGGCATTACCAGGTTGATACGATCGAAAAAGAACCAGGAATATTGAAATACTAGATTACCGATCATGCCTGACGGTACTTCCACAGCAGTGCTTGAAATCTATATTTCGGCCAATTACACAATTTTTTAATATTTAATTAAATTATCTGGATGACTCACAACCTTTTTAATGATACTTATAACTCTTCATACGAAATACAAACGATACCATACCGGAATTTTGTTTAATTTGACCTCCGGCCATTATTTCGGCTAAATGCATGGTCCAAAAGTGAATAATTAATTACAATTAATAGAACAACTCACATTTTCACTTCAAAACTCTTCATACAAAATACAAACGATTTAAAAGAGTAGTTTTCCAACCGGCGATTTTTTTCGGTCAAGTACATACGAATTTCCAATTAGCGACAAGCGTTCCCAGTGAGAAATGACTTATTAATCGACGTCGAAATCGTCAAATAGACGTCGATCGATAAGTCATTTCTCACTGAGGTTGTGGCTTATACGTATTATGGAACGCGGCCTCAATGATTTCAAGTTACAACTTCGCGCGCTTTTTTGACAGTAGATCTTACGTCATGTGAACATTACAAAAACGATGGATAAATTATCTAAGGAGATAAACGAGAGAGATAAAATATGGAAATATATACGATACAATAAAAAACAATATAATATTAATTTCTTCATACATTTCACTCTTTATTTTCCTTGGACTATAGTAACTTGAACTTTTTATACACTCTCGTAGCCTAAGTACGTGTAAATACAACAGAACAATTAATATACCGTAAAACTTATCATATCTCTATAAGTTTACAGATTTTGTTACTCTAAATTTCCATGGAATGATTACATATTTGTAGTTCATTGCAGTTTCATCGACACCTTCAAGCAGATATTCTGATTTTTCGTAAGTCTTATCGAATAACTCTAATTATAAATCGCAAAAAGTACGAATTTTTTTTCCACACAATGCAATAAAGCGACATATTACATACAAATTTACGAAGGTTAAGATTTTACAATCATATATTAATATCGATAAAAAATGTATTCATACTTTCAACGGATGACTAATTTTTTTATCGTTACGCCAGCACTTGATTTATAAATAGTTAGAATTATGCTGCTTCGTTTATTGATATTAATTACTTTCCAAAATGTAAGATTAGCTTCTGATGCTAAGAAATAATAATGAAATATATGTGTATGTATAACTACAATTTTTAATAAGATCTTTGTAGCAAACAAGTGAGATTTTAATTTATCTAATGTGAATTCACGAATTTGAATATCTAATACATATGTTTGTATAAACACAACACACATCTGCTTTGGTCACTTTCCATTCCTTTATAATATATAGCTTCAAAAAAATTTTTAAAGAATTACTGGAATAAATTTATATAAGCAGATATATAACACATAAAATATTTTTATATAAAATTCAAACAAACGATTTAATATGTACAATTCGTTTGCAGATTCTTTGCGGGTATCTCCTTATTAAGACATGTAAATTTCGTGATTTTCACCTTAAGAATGTGTGTTAAAAAGAAATAATTCATTCAAGTGCTATACATACTTTTGTAAATAATGCAGGACAATAAATATATGTATAAGATACGTACAATGCAGTAGTAAATAACCGAATACAAATAACTTGCGACCTTTATCATCAATTATTAAGCTATAATATATAAAATATCTAACAAAGATCTCTCAGTATTCATAAACATAGTCCTGCATGAGCTTATATAGATTTATATTAGTGGAAGTCAGAAATCCAATTTATTGCCCACATATTTGGATTAAGTAAACTGGATTAAGTATTCATTAACGTGGCAAATTTCGTTAGTTTTCGAATATGTAGTTAACAGTCCTTATCTTTTAAGTTCATACAGGAATTCATTCGCTTTAAAACACATCCGCCATTTAATGATTATTGCACAACTGGAAATTCAATAAACAATCATAATGTCCATGCATTATTACAGTACTGTTTTGTCAGTAAATGCTGGCGCAAAACATTACGTGTAACTTAACGGAGAAGGCATTTAAAAGTTCACCCGGTTGTTGAGTTTTCCTTAGAACAGAATACATACTCACAACGTTCCAATGCATGGATCTAATATACAGTATTGATATCTGTACATAGTTCAAGGAACTCTTCTTATATAATATACAAGTGATGTAGTCTCGTAAAATATTCTATGTACATAAATTTTCAAATATGTATGCTTGGACATGTGTGATGTATGTAACATTTTTAAAATTTAGGCACATCGAGAGCACACAACAATGATATACGTACATAAAAAGCCTTAGTTATAAGAGCGCACTCGTAACTTTGTACATATATATTTTCTTTCCAATATAATTAATAGCATAAACTAAACACGGCAGCAATTTTTTATATAATTTAATTAAATTATAGGATAGCTGAACTTGAAATATATATAATATCCTCTATATATCTGTACCATTCTATATGTTTTCTATATATACCATTGAGTTTAATTAACACTTTATATATATTATATATTCTATGTTTTAAAATCTAGAAATAGCTCATAGATTTGATTATCATAATGTAACATTAATATATATTTCATTATATTTGATGTAGTTTGTACTACACACAGATTTCCAAATAGCATTAATCTTCAAAACTGATAATCATATTTGTTTAACAAATGCTAACAACATTCATCGAAAATTAATTATTAAAGACATTCGTGTGGAACTATTACGCACAAAAATCAAAGTTTTTTCCAAATAATTCATCACATTATATTTTATATTTTGTAATTGTATTGTATTTTATATTTTGTAATTTGTATATATAGAATATTTATGTATACTTTCATCATAGCAATTTTCTGTTGATACTTTTTGAGTTCATTCTATTTCATATTATATTAATTTATATTATTTGGAAAAAAATGTATGTTATATATTTACTTTATATTGTATATCTATATGAAATATTTCTTTATATAGAGATATATCTAAATATATTTAAATAATATAAATCTTTTTCTGTTTATGTGAGCTTCTCTAACTCTTTTGAGATTTAATGTTGCAGTATTTGCAGATTTATAAAAAATTAACAATCTGCTCCCTGATAACAATATTAATATTGTATAAATTTCCTGTATATATTTTATCATCTTGTACTAACAATAGTGTAGGCACTGTATGTATAGTAATTTCTCATCAGTGCAGTAAAATAAACGGTGTCGGGCATCGAATTATTTTATATTATTTATATTATATGCAAAATATAGTATATTAACTTTTATAGCAGTAATGAGGCGGTACGATTATATTGTAGATTTTGTTCAACATGATAGCAAAATTTCCCTCATTTTCAATGGTAACAGTAAACTTTAGCATATTTTGTACGTATTTCGTGTAAAAAATTTCTAATTCTTTAATCAGATTAATGATTGATAAAATGTTCTCTCAATCTTATTGTATTAAAGAATAATTATATATTTTATATAATGCTCTGTAATAACTAAGGCATAATTATGTACTTGTGTATAGACATGCTCAAGTGTACAAATATATATTCATTTTTTATATGTATATATAATAGATATATATATATATATATATATATATATATATATATATATATATATATATATATATATATATCTTTCTCTCTATATATATTTTTTTATATAATATATATAACACGATATACAACGAATACTGTTAGGTGTATTTTTAAGGCACTCGTGCGAATAGAATCTAAAACATTTGAAACAGATGAGAAAAAAACAAAGACTGAATTATAATAACAATCTATAAAATTATATATGTCTAACTACTACATTTGGTTAAATTGGTCGAGAACTAGAATTGTTTGAATGAAAACACCCTTTCACTCTGACACATTAACTCTTGTATGATAAATTATAAATTAATGTGAGACGCGATTGTATCGAATACAATCAACAAACCCTGTATTAATATAACATTTCATTGTAGCCTCTTAACAAGTTATATTAACTATTTTAACCCCGTTCTCTTTCTCTCAAAGCCAGGAACTAGTGCTTTAAGGTATTATTTTATCCTCAACACACACGGCTTCACATTTTAGTTAAAACGTAAAGTTTTTCACAACTATCTTCCATTATCGATATATTCAGCTTAAATTAAGTGCGAAACACACGAAAAGGGGAGGCTAAAAGTATCATCGTAATATGTAAAATCTGTGTTGACGGGGATTTTGGGGTTGTTGCATGCGGAGCATCACTATCCAGTGCTTGAACACTATGCACATCACGAAATATATGTACGTTTAATTTTTTTTAAAATGATTTTGTACAAAGAAATCATAATGTAAATTGAGATTGGTCTCTCTCGAACTGCTCACTCAAAATTTCTCTAATATTAATATCACGGGTGTTTGCCTCCGCGTTATGGCAATATATACACTCATTAATGCTTAGTATATATATAGTGCTGGATATAGTTTCTCTCCACAATATTCTCTAACGCACACCACAGCTTTCGCATTAACAGCTATAGCATGAGCTATGAGACATCGTTTATTTTGCGTAACAACGTAATTTCAATAAATATAGCAATGACAACAATAACATAATAAACATAAACGTTAATCGTTTAATGTATCATTCATAGATATTTTCAATGAATGTGTATGTGTGTCTGGTTATCGTAAGCCATATAATTTCACATCATTACACATATTTGAAATAACATTGATAAAATATTAAAAGTGCCTTAAATAAAATTTCGCAACCAACAGTAACTTTAAAAGAATCTAGGAACGATAAAATATTAGCCACTTTAAGTATATTTAACACCAATATATGGTGAGAGCATATCGACAAATGTATACATCTATATATAAACTGTAAACAGCTATGTGTTAAATAAACTTTATAACATGCAAGATAAATTACTTTAATATCTCATAGCTCAGATTCTTTCATACATACATATATATACATACACACACATACACACACACACACGCGCGCGCGCGCGCGTGTGTGTGTGTGTGTGTGTGTGTGTGTGTGTAATATAATATAGGAATGTTTTTTCATATCTTTCTTGTACAATGCTTCTATTATTATCACGGGTAATAACGGACGCACGGTCATATACATTTTTACATAATTTTAACCGTATACGTTTTTTATTAACATGATGTTGCCGATATATATATATATATATATATATATATATATATATATATATACACGTATTTCTTTTTTCTATTTTGAAAACTGGAATGACAAATATGATTATATCCATATATATGCATGTATGTGTGTATATATATATATATATATATATATATATATATATATATATATATATATATATATA